TACGTATTCCAAAATATACTGTTTTCAATTCAGATCGACGGAGCGTTTGCGTCCCCATCAGCTGTTGTGGGCTTCCCTTACGGCGCTTCGGTCTATGGCCTCAAGACCATGTCGGGTATGTGTCGTTAAAGTGGAGGAAGGAGATGCTCAGGCGATGGAAGGCGGTGCTCCTTCGGGAGGATTGATGATGATCGATTAACGTAAATTGAGTTACTGTTCTCTAAGTTCTTTGGTTGGTCATTCGGAGGAGGTCGTCGGTCGGTAGTAATCCTGTGGGAGCGGATGGCGAATGTAGTGTTGGAGGAATATATGTTTGGTCTTCGCAGCTCACGAGTTTCCAAAACTACAGTAGGAAAATTCGCACACGAGTCGGGATATGTACCAACAGGAATTTTTGAAAATTCTATCGCTCTCTGGTTCGGAGATTGTTTGGTGATTCGTGCCCTTCTCCGCGTCGTTGGTAACTGTGTACTAGGCAGACTTGATTGATATGGCCGCCAGTGCGGGATGTTCGAGGTCGCACCAAGAAGTGGAAGAACATTTCCTTGTATTCAGAACATTGGGAAATGGAGCTTTTTGAAGAGCTCGAGAGAGGAAGGATCAGACCATCGGAAAAATCACTTTTACTATTATTAGTATATCCTGTTTACTCCGGTCAACATCTAAATGGCGAACAGTGTTGCTTCCCGAGCGGTGTTGGCTGCCAAGAACACAGTGATGGTTCGTGAGAGTATCGATAAGAAGGAGGACGAAGCCGTGAAGTATTGGAGTGAACGCAAGGAGAGTAAACAAATGTTGATCTAACTATAGTTGCCAATTGTCGGAATATGGATTACATATCTGGCATGTCGTTTAAGAATGAATTCCTCGAATAACGAGAGTTTGGCTTTGTATCACTTCCCGTTGAGATTTACTGCGGTACTGTTGAGATGACGAATAACTAGTGGGTTCGTCTTATTAGTTGTTATTTAGGCATCGAGAAGGAGATAGGTGACCTAAGCCGTCAAGCAGATGAGTATAGAAGAATGTTGGATGAGATTGACAAGAAAATCAGCCGCGGAATCGGACAGGGTTCCCAGGAGGCTGTTGTGGGAGAGAAACTCAACGTAGTAATGAATGCTACGGACGAGTTGTAGTAGATAATCGAAGTGGACTCCTGTCCTAATTCCTATGAACATCATATCTTATGAGTGAATTGTATATCCGATATAGTCTAGCTGGTTAGGATACCTGG